GCGTCTCTTGCTGTCGCCGCCCGCGCCGATCCGGGCTGTACCCGGGAACTGGGCGGCCGGCCGGGTGTGCTCCGCTGGCAGGGCCTCGCTCCGGGGCGCGCGGCTGCGATCCTGGCTCTGACACCAGCGGGCGGGAGCGCGGGACGACGGAAACGTGGAAGCGAGGCGCGCGCGGCCCTCCAGTGCCCAGGGCCAGGCGGCTGGCGCCTCCAGGCCTGGGTTCTCTCTCCTGCCTGGTCCCGGCCGCGGACGGTCTCCGGCCTCACCCCACGGGAGAAGTGGACTTGACCTTGCACCTGGCGCTGTGGAGTGCCAAATAGAAAGGGCAGAGCTCCGCTTTGAGGGACCAGGGGTCGGAACCACAGCCGGGTGGGGCAGGGGTGAAGGTCAGCAGTCAAAGGGGAGGTGGGGCGGGACCGGGCCTGGCCGGCCCTTCCGGGCACCGTGGCTTTGGGACCCTGTCCGGAGCTTCTGTGCACAGAGGCGCTGAACAGTGTGTGTGCAGAGGCCTGCGGACCAGCCTGTGCAGCCCCTTCGTGTCTGGAAGGGATTTCAGCCAATGTGCAGTGTTTCCCCTTAGGTTTGTACTCCAATGAAAACGTTACCCAAAGAATCGTGCCAACATTCAAAAATTATGAGTCTGCAGGAAACCTTGATTTCTAGGTTTTGTGGGTGGGTCGCACTTGGCCGGTCCTGCCTGCAATGGGGGCAGCCTGGGTCCTGCCTGCAAAGGCCTGCTGGTAGCCTGGGATGGGGGTATGGTCTTTGGCCTGCTAGGGGCGCACGTGTGTGTGTGTGTGTGTGTGTGTGTGTGTGTGTGTGTCTTCCTGTTCAGTCGGGGATCATCAGCATTGAGGGGACCATGCCTAGTGCCCACCCACCCGGGCCCTGGCCGTACCAGAGAGTTGTGTGTGTGAGGTACAACCTGTGCCCCAGTCTCACCTTGGCAAGGCCAGCTGAGGTGGGCTCCAGGACGGAATGGGCTTCCGGCCTAGGATCCAATGTCCCTTCCATCCCTGTCAGAGGATGCACTATTCTGCTAGGGGCTGGAATGCACTGCCTGGAGGGTGGGGATGATCATGTTCATTGCATGTCTTTTATGTCTCAGGAAAGCTGTTAAAATATGTAAGACCACACCAGAAAGCTCTCTTGGAAGCAAACCTGGAGAATAGGAATAAACACACCCCAAAACCAGGAAAGGGGGGGGGGTGCAGTTTTCCAAAGGGACTTAGAGTATCTGCTATGGTCAGATGGGTGCAGAGCCTGAGTTCAAGCCTGTGGAAGAGGGCATTACTTAGTGACATCGAGGCCCCAAAGCCCCTGCTTATCATATAAACTGCTTTAAAACTGTACCCAATCCAGGGAGGCCTGGGGCAGTGTGGTGAGGCTTCCCCAGTAGTGACTCTTCCTTGCTAGGGCATGGGGGCATTCATGGGGTGGAGGGCAGGAGGGGCACCCCAGGGTGCTGGAGCCTGCTGCTTTTTGAAGTCTCTGGACCTGATATGTGCCTGACCTGGAGGTGTGGGCCTGTGTGGGGCTGGAGGAGCAGCCCAGACAGGAGGGCACAGATGCCCTGTTACCCACCAAGTGTCCATAAGCAGATGGTCATGCTCTCCCATGGGGCAGGGCATATTGAGAATCCTGGGTACCCATCTCAAATGACACAATAGCTATGTCATTTCTGACCCCACCCACAGGCCTGCAGCCTAGGCTATGAGACCCATTTCAGAAAACAGGTTCAAAGGGCTTGAGAGCCTGGCTTTGAGGCAGGCCAGGCACTTCTCATTCTTGTGAGAGTTAGCAGGACTGGGATTATCCCTGGCTGTCTGGCTCCAGAGCCCAGGAAGCCTCATCCTGTGTGCACCTAGGCACCCCCGGCCAAGGTGGGGACCAGGCAGTGCAGCACCTGGAAGGCTGAGCCTCAGCTCGGCAGATGGGCACTGCTGCCAGAAAGGAACGTGGTCCCAGAGGGGTAAAGCTGGGGCACTTTTGAAAGCTCACATAACCCCTCTGGGCTTGGCCTGTGACCCCCCACCCTGTGGGAAACTGAGGCCCAGAAAGGGAAGAAGGGCCTGATAAGGGGCCCCCATGAGCAGTTGCACCTGTGACTGGCAGTGGCAGTGGCCATGGCCTGCAGAAACATGGAGAAACATTGCCCTGCGGAAGCTGTCTGATCCCACACAACGCTGCCAAAATGCGAGTTCTCTTAGAAAAAAGAATCTTCCTAGTGGGCTGCAGGGTTTTGCCCAGTTCTCCACTGTAAGCCCAGCACATGCACTTCAAGACCCTTAGGTTGCAGGTGTTTCTAGTTCCCGAGGTCAGACGGCCCACCAGCTGGGAGCTGCTGGAAGCAGGTGTTGCAGGAAGGCGCCTCGGGCATCGACAGGCCACGGAAGGGTTACTGCGGATTTTAGAGAGGTCAGGGAGGCGGTTCGGCCCCTGGCACCCGCGGATGCTCCACTGTCTATTTACTTTCTTTCTCTACCTGGTTGGCTGATAGCCGAGGCCCCCTGCGGCCCTGAAGCTGGACGCCACAGCCGTCAGGAGGCGGAAGGTTTGCGGTAGGCAGCCCGAGGGTTCTCAGAGTTAAGGCAGAGCAATTACAGCTCTGCTTCGTGGCTACCTTTGTCCCTCTGTTCTTTCAAGTATGGCCTCTGAATTCTGTTGAAGACAAGGAAGAGAACACAACTTGTGGCACAACGGGATGATCCAATAAAAAAACAAGCCACAGACTTCTGCTCCCGAAAGTGCAAGCAGCGCTTAGAGTTCCGCTTCAGGAGCCCAGCGAGATTCCCTCCCCGCCGCGTGGCGCCGCGTCCGAGAACCAGCAGATCGACGCGGCACCACCTCCCGCTGCAGTCCCTCGGGCGGGCGCGCGGGGGCAGCGCCTCGGCCTCCGGCGCCCCGCGCCCCCAGTTGACATTCCAAAATTGGGGGATTTTCCACGCTCGCCACCCCGGCTCTCGGCCGTCTGCCCATTGTTGTCTCCGAAGGGTGGAGGAGGGTGCCGAGTTTCCCGGAGCCTCGCCCGGGCCTGCGTCTCGCGCAGTGCAGACAGGGTTTTATTTGGGGACAAACTTTTGAGGGGCCTCGGTGGCGGCGGCCGCAGTGCGGGAGGCCAGTGCGGGCCTCCTCCCCAGTCTCCCTCCTGCTCCCTGCGCCCCCGTGGCCAGGGCCCCCGCATCCCGTGGCCCCGGTTCCCGCCTCCCAGCCGCAACCCGCCCGGGGTCCGCGGGACCCGAGGACGACTGCAGCTACTCCACGCCTGCGGGACGCCCGCTGTCCCCACTTTGTCCCCCTACCCCGAGGGGCCCGTCGCGTGCCAGGCGTGGGCCCCCAGCTGCCCCGAATCGTCTCTGCCGGGTCCTGGCGCCACGTGGACCACCAGAGCTGGCCTGCCCTGGCCGGGGCCTCGTCTCAAGCCCACTCTTTCCCCCCTGGGTTTGAAGGTCTCCTCACGTTGATATGGGAGAAGGTGAGGGCCATACACAGATGAGTGAGAATCTGCGCAGTTCAGAGAGCACGTGGCTGCCTCCTCCGCCACCAGCTGTGCACTGTGGGGGACCCCGCGGCTCCCACAGCCCTCCTCTGCGGCCTGGGTGACTGTTCACCCTGGCTGGTCACTCCCACTCTGCCCTGTCCGGGTCTCCGTGCCTCCCACATTCAGTCGGCTGAAACAGGGAGGTGGGTCCTTAGAGCCGGAGCGCACACCGCCCTCCTCTCGGGTTGTGGGTAGGGCAGCGCTGCTGAGCTGGGCAGGGACAGATTCGGCCAGCTTGGTTTGGGCATGGCTGACCTAACGGAGCCCACAGGCATAGCCCTGGTCTTTTTGCGTGGAACTTCTGGGGGCGGGGGTGCCCAGCTGGAGGATTCCAGAGCCCAACCTGGCTGCTCTGTGCAGCACACAGCAAACCTCCTGGGTTGACGCCATTGCTTTGTCTGCCCAGAGAGGCCCTGACTCAGCTGGGATGGGGGCTGCCAAGGCTGGAGCGGGCGTCTTGAGAAGACACCCAGTTGGGACACCTTCCTGGGGCGGGCGTTGAGTGATGCCCACTGAGACAAGCCACTCAGGCCCCAGGACACCTGCTCGTCTGTCTCTACCCTGGCTCCCTGGACACCTGGGGCCATGGTGGAGTAAGGGGTGGGAGCCTCCATCCTGAGGCCTGATGCCACAAAGAGCCCCTGGGGAGGTTGGCAGTGGTCAGCACCCTCCGGCAGCCTCAGTCTACTGTTGGGCTTGTAACTAGCCCACTGCCTATTTCCTGCACAGCTGTTGTCCCCCTCCTGGGCATGTGACACTCAGCGGGGCCCTTTCCTGGAAGATAAGAGCCTGCTCCCTCCGTTATCTGACCCTGCTCTTTTTAACTTGGTTCATCTCCGCTGATAGGAGTCACCCCCTGATAGATTAATGTCAGTTGGGACAAGTCAGTTACTAATTTCCGCAGGAAATTCATTTTCTGGGCCCTGCTGTGGGAGGGCACAGAGGTTGTAACAACCGGGTGCTTTATAGAGAGAGGGTGCGTGTGCCAGCAGGGGCCTGGCTTCTTCTGGAGGCACTGG